TTTTTTTTTTTTGAGACAGAGTCTTGCTCTGTCGCCAGGCTGGAGTGCAGTGGCGCAATCTCGGCTCACTGCAACCCTCCGCCTCCTGGGTTCAAGCGATTTTTCCGCCTCAGCCTCCCGAGTAGCTGGGACTACAGGCGTGTGCCACCACACCCGGCTATGAAATTTCATTCTCTTTATGTCTGTTCGTTGCTGTGATACAACTAAAAGAAATTATAACAGTTATTTTATCAGGCATATTAGTAGAGTCAATTATACACATTTTTCTCTTGTTCTGATTAAACAAAATAATTCTTCCAAGATGCACTGAGTTCAGTGCCATTTTTCCAGCGAACACTGATGCACTTTGGAGGGCAGCAGAGATGGAAAGACATCTGCTTTTGAGATGCACAGTCATAGAACAGTAAGTTTGCGATTTAATGTCTTTCCAAAAAGCAAACATAAAAAGTTCCAGCTCCTTCATAATTACCCTTTTTTAAAAATAAGAACAAATTTTTACAAAAATGGAAATTTTCAAAAAATTGAGTAATAACTGTTTGTATTTTGATTTTGCCCACCAAGGAATAGCAAGGGAGGGGTAGGAGAGGTCTCAATGTCATCTTTCAGCTTCACACCTTAGTCCGAATTTTCTTCTGATTAGTTGCCACCGTTGATCACCTGGTTCTTCATATCCAAAGCATGGGCTGTGACCCCTCACACTCTGTATCCATGTCTGATCTCTCAGCAAATGCTGTGCTCTGTTTCTCCTTTAAATAAACTTTTGGGATAGTTTTAGGCTTATGGAAAGGTTGCAAATACTGAGCTCCTGTATGTATATACCCAATGCCCAGTTTCCTCCAACGTTAACGCTTGACTAAGGTACATTTGTTACAACTGAAGAACCAATCTTGTTACGTTATTGTTCACTAAAGTCCATACTTTGTTGGGATATTTTCAGTTTTTACCGAATGCCCATTTCCTGCTCCAGGATTCCCTCCAGGACACCATATTACAGTTAATTGTCATGTCTCTCAGGCGCCTCTTGGCTTTGACAGTTTCTCCAACTTTCCTTGCTTTTTTAAATGACCATGACAGTTTTGAAGAGTGCCAATCAGGTGCTGTGTGCCTCTTCCTCATGATTAGCCTGGGTTATGGTTTTGGGGAGGAAGACTGCAGAGGTGAAGTGTGGTTTTCATTCCATTATAGTGAGGGCCTTCTAGCCTCCTTCCCTCCTCCCTTCCTGCTCCTTGAACCTCCAAACCCTTTCCTACTTCTGCCTTTGGGACTTGCTGTTTCCTGTGCCCCGAGGCACTCTTTCTTCTCCCAGATGGCCTGAGGCTTGCTCCTGGTCCTTTTTTTTTTTTTTTTTCCCAGATCCGTGAACACTTGTATTGCATATTCTTGTAGAACATACACTCCGAGGCGTTGTATTCTATGTGTGTATTTGTGTATGGTCTGCCTCCCCAGGTAGAATGGGAACTTTGTAGGGGCAGACACCTTTGTCAGTTTTTCTCACTGCCGTGTTCCCAGACCCTGGCATAAAGTAGGTCCTCAGTAAACACTTGATGTATGCATCTGTGCGTTCCGCAGGTAAGTGAGAGAGTTGTGCTTCATGTGGGGCCAGTGCTCTGATGAGTCAATTAAACCTTTCTCCTTTTTAAATTACCCAGTCTCAGGTATGTCTTTATTAGCAGCATGAGAAGGACTAATACAGTCGCTCACTGTGGTCTTTGGACCATTAGACAAACAGGGTGTGTTTCTCAGGCGTGGCTCCCGAAGAATAACATTGAGAGTGAGTGGCAAGGGGAGAGTGAGCGTGTGGAGGGCGTGTCCTGCTGGGGAGCCCAGATAAGTTTCATTTAAAGAAAGGACCACCAGACTTTTTGGCAGTACGCACACTGTTATTTATGTGCCAGCAATCAACTAAAATAATCAGTACTCCACTCGTAACTGCAAATCCTTCCGGCAAATTTGTTGAGCTCCTCTGAGGTGGCAGGTGCTGCTGTGACGGGGTGGCAATGAATGTTCAGTATATGGTGGCTCAGAGTTGGTTCAGAATTGATTATGTGGTGGGTAGGAGTGGAGTTGGATGTGACACAGACCTGGATTCAATTCCTAGCTGTGCGACCTCAGAATTTGCGCAAGGTCCCACAGCTGCTAGATAGTGGTTGAGCCCACTGTCTAGCTGTGGGACCTTGGGCAAATTCCTTGCCCCTGATCTTTAGATTATTCAACAGTAAAATAGGCATGAGATGCCCTGCTTCCTTCATGCTGGTGCAGTGAGGAATAAAGAAAGTCATAGAAAGTGTCTAGTGTGTGGCATGTAGCAAATGCTCAGTGAAGGCACCTCTGTCAGTGACACATTAAAATATTTCTTTCCTGTCTGTTGTCTTATTCATCCATCAGCCACGAATTGAACAGGAGATTGCAGAGCTGCTGAAGTCCCTTGGCCCCGCTTCAGTAAGCAGATCCAGGGTGCTGGGTGTTGCTTTCTGTGTCAGCTTGTGAAGTATGTCTACAAAAATGCAGGACCATACACAGTGTTCTCAATTCTTGGGAACGCCCATGAGTGGAAATGTCAGTTTGGTGATTTCTTGGCACACATGGCAGGTAGTGGATAACTGATCCCAAACGTGACATTTGAGTTAGTGCTTCGTGCAGCTTGACTTGAAAAGTTGCTCCACGTGGGTCAGCCTGGTGGTCCCAGGAGTTGTTCTTCTACAAATGGAACCTTGGCCGTGAAACGTTAGCAGCTCAGCCATGGAAGGAGGTTTCCGGGCATCTGAATAGTTGTCTGGGTTTTAACTTAAGTAACTTGAATCACAATGGATGGTCCTGGTGATGTCGCCTCTCTAGATTCAGGAATAGACTTTCTGTCCTGCAGGCTTGCGCTATAAGGGCAGAGGGGTGGTAGGGAGAGCAGGGGAGAAGGACCCAGCCTGACTCCCCCCTCACCATACCCCAGCTTGTTTCGTTCAGAACCTCTGATGTCCCCTCGGTATAAAATGGGGATGGTCGGGCCTGCTGTGTAGTAGCAGTAGAAATGGTGCCCACAGATGAGTGCCATCAACAGGTAGCTGGTGTCCTAATTCTGAGATTTAGGGAGAGAGGTAAGGACTTAGATACCGCAGTCACTAAGGAGGAGCCATCAATTTTGCATAGCGTGAGAAATGGCTTGATAATAGGAAATACTAGGGGAGCTGGGCTGCTGTATTAGTTCGTTTTCACGCCGCTGATAAAGACATACTCAAGACCAGGTAATTCATAAAGAAAAACAGGTTTAATGGACCCACAGTTCCATATGGCTGAGGAGGCCTCACAATCGTGGTGGAAGGGGAAAGGCACGTTTTACATTGACAGCAGGCAAGAGGGAGAATGAGAACCAAGCGAAAGGATTTCCCCTTATAAACCATCAGATCTTGTGAATATGGGGGGAACCGCCCCCATGGTTTAATTACCTCCCACCAGGTCCCTCCCACAACACATGGGAATGATGGGAACTACAATTCAAGATGGGATTTGGCTGGGGACACAGAGCCAAACCATATCCGCTGCCTTCAAAGCTGCTCTGAGACAGTGCCAGGCAGTATCCGTAAGCCTCCCTAGGCCTAGTGTGGGGAGTGCTGTGTCTGACAGCCGTGGGGTTCCCCAGCTGGAGGCGAGCAGTGGCCAGCCGTCCAGATGAGAAAAGTATTGAAAGCTCTATGGAGAGGCCCTCCCTCTGAGAAGTTTTCACCTTGGGTCTCTCGATGAAACCTGGTAGTGGGGCCGTTAAGGGGGCTGCCACATTGAGGTGCTCACATGTGAGTTGAATGGATGGCTGACAAGGAGTTTGTGTAAAGTTGTGATTCCAGTATTAGAGGGGACATTCCAGCCTCTCTGCAGCAGCCTTGAAGATAAAAGGAGGGGAGCGATGGCAGGAGGATGAAGCTGATGTGTATGTTACCGGGGTCTTAAGGATCTGGGAGTCTAGGGACCCAGGGAGGGGAGGGAAAGAGAGGAGAGTTGAGAGAAGTTGGCGGGGAGGGGAGGAGGCCCAGTCTGTGCTTGGACAGATGGACGGGCGCGGGGCAGGGTGGAAGGCTCTGACTGGGGGTGCTTGCCAGGAGGCACTTGGACTGGAAACGGAGGGACAAGCTGTGGTCTGCCTCTTCTGACCCCCACCTTCCCACTGCTGTATCAACTACCTGAGCCTTTGTACAGGGGCCAGATTTGGACAGGATCTTGCACTTAGTACATTGTTGACTAAAACCAGTTCCTTTCTTCTTTCTTAGTATCCAGCAGAAATCCGGAAGTATGAGTACGACCCAAATTTTGCAATCCGTGGACTTCATTATGATGTTCAGCGGGTAGGTTTACTTCTGTTTTTCTACGGTTTAATGATTGGAAATAAAATGTACTCTTGGTACTTTTCTGCACTGAACGGGTAAATGAGTTTTAAATTATTTGGGACTGCAGAACCAAATTATTCGCATATCTTTGGATAGAATCTTCTGGAAGAGACTATGTATTAGAAAAGCATGAATGCAATTAGCTATTTAGGAGGTACTGTTTATTTCTAGTAGTCATTTTTGGTGTTTTGAGGAGGAACTAGTTGCCATATCTGTTTTTTTTCTCTGTCTTTTGCGGATAGGCCATTTCCTTAAAGAGCTGTACAGCACATTAATTAACAAGCAACATGTTCCTTCCAGGAACATACAGTGTGTGCTTCCTTGTTAGGGCAGCCTAATGTTGATAGGATTTATGATGACAGCTAGATTGCTCATTTAATATGCAGATAGTTATATGTTATTTACATGTGCATGTGTTTATGTTTTTAAAGGCAGTATTAATGAAGATTGATGCTTTTCATTACATCCAGCTGGGAACTGTCTACAGGTAAGAGGAAGAGGAGATACATTTAATTTACCAGGTGAAGTAACCGGGTGGCTTTGGGTTTCAGGACCCACTGACTGTTGAGTGATGAGAAGGGCTGCAGTGTGGATATGATACGTTCATTCATTCACTCACTTTTTCAAGAGCATTTGTTGAGGCCTGCTACCATGCTAGGTGCTAAGGGCTTTGTTTGCACAGATGCCCTGAAGGAGCTCAGAGTGTGGGTTAGAAGTCATGTAAGTAAACCTGACTGCAGTTCACAGTGACAGAGGTGATGATAGAAATGTGCTCAGAGCCTTAGGAAGCAATCTGGAGGACTGTAGGGAGAACAGGTGCTGGCCGGCAAGTTGAGGGAGGGTCCTGGTGAGGAGATTTGGAGCAGGAGGGCTATGGGGCTGAGGGAACCGGGTTCTCCTTCCCACCATGCTATTTGGGTATTTGGATATTGAGATTATTTTTTCTTTTTTTGCCTATTTATTAGAATTAGTAAAAGTACTTCACTTAGCTCGAAGTCTCTGTAACTTTGTGTTTTTTGAGGTGATGTTTCACCATGAGGTCCAGGCTGGAGTGCCGTGACACGATCTAGGCTCACTGCAGCCTTTGTCTCCCGGGTTCAAGAGATTCTCCTGCCCTGGCCTCCCGATTAGCTGGGACTACAGGCACAAGCCACTGTGCCCAGCTTATTTTTGTATTTTTAGTAGAGACATGGTTTCAACATATTGGCCAGGCTGGTCTCAAATTCCTGACTCCAGGTGATCCACCTGCCTTAGCCTCCTAAAGTGCTGGGATTACAGGTGTGAGCCACCACGACCAGCCATCTTTGTAACTTTTAAAATGGAGGGTTTTGCCTTTTTTATTCTCCAATTTGGGAGGGGATTTAGGAGTGTGCTTTGTATTTAGGTGCACAGCTTATGCTTAAACGTATGCATATCTTAGCTTCCATTCTTCTCTCGCAAGCTGCTAAAATTAATGCTTATTTATTTGTTTTTAAAATCAAAGTGAAACATGCATTGAGTCAGAGTCAAACAAGATTAAAGGTGTCACGGGGACGGCAGCAATCATTCTGTGTTCCCCTCTGCCCCCAAAAGCTTTTAAGTCTTTAGATTTTTTAAGTAATGTGTTGGTTCTTATATTTTCTAATTGATTGATTCTGGACATTGTCCCTGCTGTGACAGATGAGGACTTAGCTTTCTGGCACCTCCTCCCACTTCTCCAGTCTCATTCCTCTCATAGCATTCAGATCTCAGGTTCTGGTGGTTGTACCGGTCACTGTTTACATTATGACTCAGAAGGTCTTGTCCGTTGACCTTTTTTTTTTTTTTTTTTTTGTTATTGAGACAGTCTCCCTCTTGTTGCTCAGGCTGGAGTGCAGTGGCGAGATCTCGGCTCACTGTAACCTCCGCCTCCCGGGTTCAAGCGATTCTCCTGTCTCAACCTCCCAAGTAGCTGGGATTATAGGCATTCACCACCACGCCTGGCTAGTTTTGTATTTTTAGTAGAGATGGGGTTTTACCATGTTGGCCAGGCTGGTCTCAAACTCCTGATTTCAGGTGATCTGCCTGCCTTGGTTGCCCAAAGTGCCGGGATTACAGGCCTGAGCCACTGCGCCCAGCTGGTTCACTCTTAAGCCAGGTAGTCCAATGCAATTATTTTTCTTTCTTTGGTTTTTCTTAGATTTTAACAATAATCTCATTTTTTTGTTTGCCTAGTTTTCTGCATAGAGATCTCTAATTTTTTTCCATTACAGATATGCTCAATTACAAGTGTCAGGCATGTATTTATATTTTCCAGTAATTCAAATGTTTTCAATAATCTGTCACTTTTTAAAAAAAAATTTACTCTCCCCTCCTGGTCTGATCTGGTTTGGTTTCTTGTCTTGGGACTTCCCTTTGCTACTTGCCCTGTTTCTAGTTTCCTTTTCTTCCTCTCTGGCTTTACTCCCTCATTGTGCTGGAGTGTATCCTCCAGCAGCTTCCTGGGACGTCCTAGTGCTGAGCCTTTCTGCAGCTCTGTGGTGGGAATCAGTTCTTGTGGTGGGGGTCCCCTTGCAGGCCTCCGTTCTCAGTGTTGTTAAGTCAGATTCCTTCTTTGCATCCACTGTTTGTCTTCCAGTGTCTTGTGGAAATGTCTTGCCTGCTGACGTCTTTGCTCTCGTTTCCTTTGACTGTTGTTACTCTCACTTTAATGGTGTTTCAGGAGGGAGAGGAGGTGGTTGCGATGATGATAATATTACTGATAGTGACTAGCAAATATTGAGCCTTGTTATGGGACAGGCACTCTTATAAGGGTTTTGTTTGAGTTAACCCATTCAGTCCTCAAAATAACTGAGTGAAGTAGGTACTATTATTAGTGCCAGAGGTGTTAAGTAACTTGCCTAAGGTCACACAGCAAATAATTGCCTGGGCTGGAATTCTGAACCAGGCAGCCTGGCTCCAGAGTCTGTGCTCTTGGCCACTATGCTGTGTGGCTTTTCTGAAGGTGGGAGGGATAGTTGGAGTCCCTCAACACATCTTTTTTGGGGGTGGTGAATCTATTTTAATATGGACAATTACAAATAATCTTTCCAACAAGATCACATCTTTTGCGGGAGCATGGATGGAGCTGGAGGCCATTATCCTTAGCAAACTTACACAGGAACAGAAAACCAAATACTGCATGTTCTCACTTACAGTGGAAGCTAAATGATGAGAGCTCATGGACACATGGAGGGGAACAATAGACTCTGGGACCTGGTGGGGAGGATGGGAGGAGGGACAGGATCAGGAAAAATAACTGATGGGTAGGGTGCTAGGCTTAGTACCTGGGTAATGAAATATCTGTACAACAAGCCCCCATGACATGAGTCTACCTGCACATGTACCCCTAAACTTAAAAGTTAAAAATTTTCCATTTATTTTGTAAGTAACATGTATATTAAATGTAATTGATACGTATTTGTGCACGTCTCATTTTCTTAGGAAAGATCTCTGCAAGTGAAATTGCTGGGTGAACATTGTTCATTCATTTTAAGGCTTTTGAAATGGCTCAGTTGACCTCCAGATTGTACCATTCCCAACAGACTTACTTTTAACTTATATTTTAAAGTTGTTGCTACATTTAACATATTCCAATTTTTAGTGTTTCTTTCTCTAAACCTCTTAAACGAACATTCGTTCGTTCCCCTACTCACAGCTCCTAGTGTTTTCCCAAAGTTATTATTGCAGTGGTGGGGGTGGGGGAGAGAACGAAGAAGGCAAGGTTATGTGTGTTTATGAAAATCCTCACCAGGACGCTTCATTCTGTCTCTCCATCTGTTCTGCTGTCGGTCCCCTCCTTAGACACTTACCTCTTCTCTCCTGGGTTCTTGGGGTTTGCTGCAGTGCACTCCATCCTGGACATTCTTGTCAGACCGATTCCCTAAATCATTACCCCCAATAATCTCCTCCTCCGAAATCCTGGATGGCTCCCTGCTCTCTACAGAATAAAGGCTAAGCCTTATGCTTAGGCTTAAGTTGGAGATTTTTATCAACCTGCTTTAAACCCTTCGCTTCCTCTTCTTCTGTACACAGCTCCTGTACTTACTGGATTGGTCAAGACTCTTGGTTGCAAGTGACTGAAACTCAAACTGGCTTCATCAGAAACACAATATTGGCCACTAATTGTATAGCCCACAGGCAGAGTGAGTTTGCAAGTGTTGCTGGCCCTGAGGCCCAAATCACTGTTGTCAGAACTCTTTCCATCTCTTGGCCTTCCTCTGTGGCTTGGCTCACTCTCAGGCAAGCCCCTCCTTGGCAACCCCTGGCACTCCCAGGCCCACATCCTCCCAGCTCCAGGTCAAGAGGAACAGAGGAGCTTTGTGTCTCTACATTCCGCTGGAGTCTCAGGACTGAATCGCATCAGAATGACTTAGGTCATGTGTTTGGTCCCGTACCATTATGATGAAGAGAGGCAGGATGCCGGGCAGGTGAAGACAGCACAGGGATTCTTTTCCTTGACATCTTTCTCGCTGCCTGGCACTTGCTCCTGCTGGTGTTCTGCCAGGGTACAGTTTTCCTTCCTCTCTGCTTCTTGAAATCCGACCCACCCTCCATGGCCAATTTGCAGTGAGTCTTCTCCTCACCCTTGTAGTCCGAAATGCTCTTTCTCCCGTCTCTTCTCCCGGAGTTCACAGGAGAAGAGTTGCCTTGTTTTCTGTATATACCCTTCCCATGGTGTCAAGGACAGGCTCAGTAGAAAGAGCCACTGAGGCATCCAGGGGAAGGAGCGTTCAGAGTGAGGCTGTGGGAAGTTCTCCGTTGCATCAGTGCTGAGAGGGGTGTTGAGGTGGACTCGAGTCACTCACACTTCCTGGGTGCAAACCCCAGCTCCATGGCTCGCATGTGTGTGGTCTTGAGCAATCCCTGGACCCTCTGAAAGCCTTGGTTTCCTCCTGTAAAGCAGGCATGATTCCAGTGCCTGTGTAAGGGGCAGCTTGTGAAGATGAAGCATACCTGCGCAGGGCCCAAAACACAGGCCGGAGTCCCGGGCTTCCTGCCTCATGTCACAGGTTTGGTCCTCTGAGCCTTGAGTGTGGCCATTTCCACTCTGAGCACCTGTCTCAGGGAAGAGCATTGGTGAGCAGGAGGATCTCTGATGGAGACAAAAACAGCCTTTCTCTGTCCTTATGTGTTAAATACATTTTTAAAAAAGCCAGCCCACCCCTAACAAGTCATTAGGAAGCCCTGTACCTTAGTGGTTTAAGAGCCTGGGCATTCAGAAATGTCACTTCTCTTTAACCCCAGAAGGGGTCTTGAGTGAGGGAAGGTGGGAAGAAAGTGTCCGTCTCAGCCTAGTTTGTTTCTAAGCCGTGATGCAGGTCCCCGGTCCCTACACCAGGGTGAAATTTATGATGTTTGGCCCACAGGAGTGAGTGCTGCCGGATGGGTGGGGGGTGAAGAGGGGTCCCCCACCGCAGCCCTGTTTTTGTACCTACATTTTAAGTTCTTACTAGGAACCTTGTAAAAAGCTGGGATGGCTCCCATCACAGCCACACTGGTGAAACCTCCCTACAGTGCTTACCGTATGCCAGCTGTTGTATACGCAGTAGCTCCTGTGATCTTCTCAGTGACATCAGGAAGTAGGCCCTTTTGCAGTTCCCTGCTTTAAGAATGAAGACTTTGAGACCCAAAAGGGATAAATTACTTGTCAAGGTGATATCCCTAGTGATTAAGGGAGTGGGGAATTTGAGGCCCTGGCAGACTCATTCAGGTCTGTGCCCTAACCTCGTGTTTCTCACGCGGAGCAGCGGGGCAAAAGGAGCTTCCACTTTGATTTCAATGCTGCTCGAGGCTGCATTTAGACGTGGCCACGCAGTCTGCCTGTGTCTGCTGCAGTTGTGTTTGACTCTTTGTTCGATGCAGCTGCCTCTTGGGGAATTCAGCTGGCAGATTTCACTGCTGCTTCTGAGCTGCCATGTGGTTGCTTGGCTCTTGTATAGGCAGCCTGGGTGGCTGTGCCTGTGCCTTAGGGGCAGCAGTGGCTTCCAACGGGTAGAGAAGTAACTCTCACCTGGCCTAATCACTTTGCTTTTTATATTTTCTCTCCAGTGTTAGAGCCTTAGCAGCGTGGACACGTGACTGCTGCTGCTCAGCAAGGGCTGATTTCCAAGGTCACTGTCGCGAATGATCTGGCTTAGTGCCAGTGTCTTATCTGATTTCTGGAGCAAAGATAAAGGAAGTCCAGTGTTTCTGTTTTTTCAAAGGCCAGTAGTTGTAACAGGTTGATCAAGATCAGGGGCAAAATATTAATCCACTCAGATACTTTTTAAAGTAATGTGGGAGATGGAGACGGTAGGAAAGAGGTTGAAGTGATCTTTTAACTTTACATATGAAAACACAAATGATGTCGTACATAGGTTTTACTGTGGATCATGTGGTTTTGTATGCTAAGCAACCTGTTGTGTTAGTGACTAAAATTCTTCTTGAATTGTTCATACTCCTGTTAGAGCACAGTGTGACGTTTCCCGTACCATTCATTCTGTAGTTTCCTAATCATTGGTGTCTATTTCTCAAGCACTTTCTCCTCCACAGAAGGGGTGGGAGAGCAGGTGTTTCCCTTCCTGACACTTGAGAGTAGATAAGTCCAGGTGAACAGGTGAAGGCACCTGCTCTGGTCACTGGTGGCAGGGGCAGGAGTGAAACCCAGACCACTGCCTTCACAATCCATTTTTTGTTTTTTTCTGCATTTGGAGGAGCTGGATTCATTTGCAGATTCCAGAGGCAAACAGATGGTAGAGGAGGCAACTGGCCTTCTGTGTCACAAAGCATCTGGGATCATTTCCTCTCCAAGGTGGTGGTGCCATTGGACTTCCTGCCTCATGTCATGAGGTTTAGTTCATTGAGCCTTGGGTGTGGCAGTTGCCATTCTCAGCACCTGTATTAGTCCATTCTCACACTGCTGATAAAGACACACCGGAAACTGGGTAATTTATAAAGAAAAGGAGATTTAATGGACTCACAGTTTCACGTAGCTGGGGAGCCCTCACAATCATGGCAGAAGGTGAAAGGCATGTCTTACGTGGTGGCAGGCAAGAGAGAATGAGAGCCAAGTGAAAGGGGAAATTCCTAATAAAATCATCAGATGTTGTGAGACTTAATTCATTACCACGAGAACAGTATGGGGGAAATTGCCCCCATCATTCAATGCTGTCCTACCAGTTCCCTCCCACAACACGTGGGAATTATGGGAGCTACAATTCAAGATGAGATTTCGGTGGGGACACAGCCAAACCAAATCAGCACCTGTCTCAGGCTAGAGTATTGGAGGGCAGGAGGATGTCTGATGGAGATAAAAATGGCCCGTCTCTGCCCTAATATATTAAATACATCAAAACAAAAGCCAGCCCACCCCAAAGCAAGTCATTAGGAAGCCTTGTACCTTAGTGGTGTAAGAACCTGGGCCATAGAGCCAGAAGGCCTGGGTTCTAATCCTGACCCACCACTTCCTACTGTGGTGATCTTGAACAAGGTACATGACCTTTCTGTGCTTCAGTTACCTCAGCTAGTGCCTCCCCCCAGGATTGTTGAGAATTACAGGAATGACTAGATGTAATTCATATCTGGCCATGTAGTATTAACTATTAATATTATCGTTACTCCTGCTCTTGTTACCAACAGAACAGTAGTAGTAGTAAACGTAGTATAGCATCTTACCTGATATTTGTAGCATTTACTTGTGGCACATTTTGTCTCCTAGTGATGACACTGTCTTGCACCTCAGTTGAAAAATCCCAGCACTGCACAAGGGCGTGAAAAGCATTGGTCTCTCTAGTTGAGCTCTTTAACTGCACCATCTGATCTTTCCAGAGGCCTCAGTGTTGTCCCTGATGAAGAAGTCATTGAAATGTACGAGGGGTCCCATGTGCCCTTGGAGCAGATGAGCGACTTTTACGGAAAGGTAATGAGGAGCGCTTTATTCATTTAAAGTAGCCTTTTTCCTTCTTGAAACGTGGCCTTGTCGAACTTACCTACTGCTCCTATGGAATTGGCAGGAAATACGAGATTGTGTGTTGAGAGAGACTAGTGTGTGAAGGGGACACCCCCAGGTTCTTTCATGATCCTTTCTGAAGCCCTTCCTCCCCACCTGATGAAGGCTCTTTTCGCCTCCCACGTACCTACCCCATGTGCCACTCCATATCCAGGAATGTCCCTAGTTTCAGGGACAGATTGTGGCTGTCAGAGTGACAGCTACTGCTTCCCCTGACGGATGGCTGTGAATGCCAGAGATTGATGGCTACGCAGCCACCCTTTTTGGCTTCAGGGTAACCTCTGCTTTTCTAACTTCTGTGGTTCTCTTTCCACTCAGAGTTTTTGCTTTTTGTCTTATTAGATGCATTCACGCACTTGCTTTGTCAAAATGAAATGGAAGATGCCCAGTCAGCTGGTAAACTTAGTACAGATGGCCCCCGACTTACAGTGATTCTTCTTAGAATTTTTTGACTTTACAATGGTGCAAAGCCATCGCCATTTCAACATAAATTACAGTATTCAGTAAATTATTTGAGACACTCAACACTTCATTATAAAATAGGCTTTGCAGAGGCTAATGGAAATGTTCTGCAAATGCTTACGATAGGCTAGCCTGAGCCATGATGTTCCGTAGGTTGGATGTAGAAATGCATCTTTGACTTACAGTGGGTTTATCGGGGTGTGGAGAATCTATGGTATAAACTGCAAGCATTCAGAGAAAGGCTGTTTTTTAAGCTCAAATATGGGCCATGAGGGCGTGCTCCAGTTCGGGAGAGTTACATGAGTTTTTATGTCATTATGGGCAATAATTTGTTGGCTTTCCTCTGTGCTTCCTGAAAGAGTGTGAACCGGAAGTAGGACTGATACACGAGAAATCAGAAATCTGAGGGAAATCAGGATATTTCTGTCGATATCCTAGTTATACTTAGAGTGAGACATCAGCTCTGCTGTGAATGATAAGGAACAAAGGGAATGTTTTACTTTTTTTTTTTTTTTTTTTTTTTTTTTTTTTTTTTTGAGATGGAGTTTTACTCTTGTTGCCCAGGCTGGAGTGCAGTCATGCGATCTCCGTTCACTGCAACCTATACCTTCCGGGTTCAAGTGAGTCAGGCCTCCGCCACCATGCCCAGCAAATTTTTGTATTTTTAGTAGAGATAGGGTTTTGCGATGTTGTCCAGGCTGGTCTTAAACTCCTGACCTCAGGTGATCCACCTGCCTTGGCCTCCTAAGTGCTGGGATTACAGGCGTGAGCCACCATGCCTGGCCCATTTTACTTTTTTATTATTAGACCTTTCCTGTTGTGTGGAGAGGGCTTTAAATGTTGATGATAGGAAACTCCCTTAGTGAAAAGTCTTCCTGCTGTTCCTGGTGCCTTCTGGCTCTGCCCCTGGCCTGGGCCCCTGTTTCTGAAGCATCCTTCCTCCTTGTCTGCAGAGCTCTCATGGAAACACGATGAAGCAGTTCATGGACATCTTCTCCCTGCCCGAGATGACCCTTCTGTCCTGTGTGAATGAATACTTCCTCAAGAACAACATTGATTACGAGCCTGTGCATCTGTACAAAGATGTCAAGGTTGTATCCACAGGGAGATCACAGTGCTGACTGAGTCTGTTTCAGCTGTTCAGTGGGAGTCACAGAGCCGTGAACTGCCTTTCTAGGTTAGGTGTTTTAAATAGTCTCTTAGCTGGCAACTCTTATATGCGGTTTAACCTTGAACCATATATAAGAAAGATGTTGCTACATCAGGAGAATTGGAAATCAGTCAAGATTTTTGTTAAAACAAGATGGTGCTGAAACTGTTATCTCCATTTTTGATCCTTTCTTATCGGAAGGCCAAGGCCAAGGCTGGTGCATTTGGCCAAAGGGATGAAGGGGATGGAAGTCCAGCCCATACCCACTCACCCCAGAGTCTTCCCGAGCAAGGGGGTGCTTATTCTTCTTCTTCTTTTTTTTTTTTTTTTGAGACAGAGTCCTGCTCTGTCACCCAGGGTCGAGAGCAATGCACAATCTTGGCTTGCCGCAACCTCTGCCTCCCAGGTTCAAGTGATTCTCCTTCCTCAGCCTCCCAAGTGGCTGGGATTACAGGTGCCTGCCACCATGCCCAGCTGATTTTTGTGTTTTTAGTAGAGACGAAATTTCACCTTGTTGGCCAGGCTAGTCTCCAACTCCTAACCTCAATTGATCCGCCCACCTCAGCCTCCCAAACTGCTGGGATTACAGGCTTGACCCACTACCCCTGGCCAAGGTGCCTCTTCATCACGCAGAGAGGTTACATTCAAGCTCTGTGCCAGTGTAGTTGCCCAGAGGGGATGCCTTTTTCCTTTGCCCACAAAGATTCCATGTGGCTCTCTGAAGCCCTACAAAAGCCATGCAGGAATCTAGTTGAGGGGCGACTGGTGGGGTAGGGGGATGTAGACAGATGTAAACGTTTACGTGCACATACGCAAAGCCCTCATTTAAAGTTGCCCATAGGTTCTTGGCAACTGTGACTTTTAATGAAACTATGTACAAGTCCTTGAATAATGCCAATTTCAGTGTCATTTTAATGTTGACAAGGAAAAAAGTTGATTTTGCTTTTTGTCGTTTCACATAGAGTTGCAGTTTCTAAGAACCTGCTGAAGATGTTAAGTAAGGACCTACTGTACACATAATTTATATTTATAAATTTATTTATGTACTTTAATTTGTTATATTTACATGTTTATATATTTATATATGTTCTTTAAGCTGTATGAACTTTTTAATACAAAAAAAGTTTATATGTATTCGCATAGTCGTAAATATATATGTTTTAAATTATATTTTTGTAAAGGTACGTGTTTACACACTAAAATATTTTTGTTATATGTATTTATAAGTAATTTTAAGTTTTGGCAGCCCTGAATCCTGGGTTTTAGGAAGATAGAGGATGAATTATAGTTTCTCAATATCAGTGTAATGTTACCTAAATTGAATTTAGATATTTAGTTTCTGTCCTCCTTTTTGTGTGCACAGATACTTTGTCTTTAAAAATCTTGAAGAATCACTTGTAGTAGCCCTGTGCATTGGTAAGGTGAGATGTTGATTTGAAAGCTCAGTTTTTACTGCAGGTATTGCTACCACCAAGAGCAAATACTTGTGTAGAGTTTACTAGGTCCCAGGCACTGTTCTTATGAGTGCTTTAGGCATGTTAACTTGCTAAATCTTCTTAATAATGCCTTGAGGTAGGCGCTATTCTTTACAGATAAGGACATGAGGCACAGTGAGGTTGAGTTACTTGCCCAAGGTCACACAGCTGGTAAGTAGCAGAGCCTTGATTTTAAGTCAGGCAATCTGACTTGCATTTAACTACTGCCTTCTGCTGCTGGTATGAAATTGAATCAGGCTTGTGCTGAAAGGTTGAAATTGCAGTCCAGAAGGGGTCACCCTTAACAGAAATCTCCCAGCAACAGTCTGAGTAAGGCGTAGGCACAGTTTTGGCTGCAGCCCTGTCTCCTGTTCCTGGCTGCAGGAAGTTTCCATAGGCCTCAAGGAATGTCACCAGGTAGAGGCCCTGTGCAGTGTCACCTGCCAGCTGTCATGCCGCCACACTCCTGAACCCACAAAGGGTTTAACCACTTCCTTTTCCTCTTCCCTGGACCAGATCTCTGCCTGAGCTACGACCTCACTGCCAGTTTGTTGCCCTACTGGTGGCACCAAAGAGAGGGGGGGAACCTGTTAGCTATTTATCTCTGTCTCTCATTCTGTGTTATAGAATTTGCTGCTGGGGTCTAGGGGCGGAAAGAGTACAAAGGTAAAAGAGCAAGAACTCCCTTTGTCCAGATGGCTTGGAATCATTTGCTCACAATACTGTATAGAAATTACTGTCTATCATGGGGACTTTATTCAGAATTATTCACAGAAATGACCTCTCCCAAGCACTCTTGAAAATTGCCACCATCACCATGGAAGCTTTTGCTTTTCACAAGGGGCTGCCTATGAAAATGGACCAGAATTGGCCATGTGTGGTGGCTCACGCCTGCAATCCCTGCACTTTGGGACGCTGAGGCAGGCGGATCACTTGAGCCCAGGAGTTTGAGACCAGCCTGGCCAGCATGGTGAAACCCCGTACTGTTACTCAAACTCTCAGTTGTATTTTCACTGATTAAAAATGTATCTTTTGGCAGGATTCAATTCGAGATGTCCACATCAAAGGAATAATGTACAGAGCAATTGAAGCAGACATTGGTATGTGCTCAGCATTATCACGGAGAGATTTGCAGCCTGTTTCTTGTGCAACCATGCCGGCATTTTACTTTGCATTCCAGGTGCTAAGCAGGGGCTGCATGAGTGCTCTGTAAGGACCTGGCATCCCGGCATGTTGGCCGTCTCCTCTTTGTCCTGGGACTTGACGTAATTCTGACTTAAAAGGAGAGGCACTGGCCGCTATAGCTGTTTAGTTGTTTCCACCTAGACTGAAGAGGCAGGGTCTTTGTGACTGATGCACCAGATATACCCATGTTCCACTGAACAAAGCTGCTTTAAGGCTTTTCTTCCCTCTCCTGTGCCTAGGAGTGCTGGGCCCATACCCCCGTTTAGAAAGTACTTGCAGGTTGACCAACATCATGCTGAATCTGTGTGTGAATTTTTCTCTTGCCCTTAGAAAAGTACATCTGCTATGCTGAGCAGACCCGCGCAGTGTTGGCCAAACTGGCTGATCATGGCAAGAAGATGTTTCTCATCACCAATAGCCCCAGTAGCTTTGTGTAAGTTGCTCTCTGTTTCATTGCTAGCTTCTGGCACACTCTTTATATCCTGTTTGTTTTAGCAGTTGGAAAGAAAAAGTTACAAACATAGTTAATTCCTTTTATGTTAGACTAACCTGGCTGACTTGTTGCCCTAGGGACAAAGGGATGAGGTATATCGTTGGGAAAGACTGGAGGGACCTGTTCGATGTGGTCATTGTTCAGGCTGAGAAGCCAAACTTCTTTAATGACAAACGGAGGTGAGTGTCTACTTTTCTAGGGGACTAGATTTTATTCCTTTCCTGCTGTGAATATATAGACGGTGTGTCTTGGTAAAATCCAGTTGCAAAATCATTAGCATGGGAGATTATAGCTTTTGAGCTTTAACTCTTCTAGCAAGTAATTCCAAGGAGGGTGACATGAGTATATAACAGACAGTTTGCATACATTGAAATGGTTCTCAGTTCAACTTGGGCTGCTTCAAACCCGTGAATAGGCTTGAAGAAAATGATTGGCAGTGATGAAAAAGCCACACTTAATATCACATAGTAAATTAGATCTTTAAATGTGAACACATTGCGGGGCATAAGAAAACAACAGCAACAACAAAGCTGCCTGTTGGGTGGCTCTTTAAATAGAGCTCTCATTGGTGCATTTAAAATTGCAGTTGGATTTTGCAGAGCTTCTCTGCAACACAGATTTTGTATCGCTATTATGTCTTAACATCTTCCTGCCACTGTAGCCATGGGAATGGGGAAGCAGGGACGTTTCAGATTGTGACAGGGACAGGGTGTGCTGTTAGTATTGAGTGGGTAGGGATCAGGGAATGCTAAAATATCTTCTAATGTGTGGGACAGGCCTGTTCACCAAGAGTTGTTCCCTGCAAATGTCCATAGTGTTGAGAATCACTGCAGTAGGGTTCTAAAAAAAAAAAAAAAAAAAAAAAAAACTATATTTGTATGATAATGGCCAGTTTTTGAAACAGTTTTGCCCCCATGTTTATTCTGTAGCTGGTAAGCAGGTATTTAAAGCATCAGACTGTGGTACCCTTCAGTTAGTGCTTTAAATTCGTCTTGTCCCAGTTTTCCAAGTGTCACAGTGACTCCAGGAAGGAGAGGCAAATCAAGAGCCATGTGCAGGGACTGAAACATGCTGGGTGGGATTCAAGAAAATGAAGGAAAAACTAGAGTGTGATGAAAAACAGCTGTAAACTATGGCTTGCTGCTTTGTCACTATTTTTTCCCACTGACTGGCGACTGGAGTTATCCCAAAGACAGTGGTAAGGGTGTTCCTACATGGGACAGCCCCAAACCGTCCTGTGGTGGGTTTGGTTGGGATTCCAAAGAAAGAAGCACTTAGTGCTAGGGCGATCAGTCCAAAGTGGTTATTAGAGGCACGGACTTACAGAGTAGGCTGTGGCGTATCCTTTGGCACAATGGTCCCCAACTTTTTTGGCACCAGGGACCAGTTTTATGGAAGACAATTTTTCCACCAGGTTTGGGGGGGGTGGGGTGATAGTTTCGGGATGTAACTGTTCCACCTGAGATCATCAGGCATTAGATTCTGATAAGGAGCACACAACTTAGCTCCCTTGCTTGCACAGTTCACAATAGGGTTCCACTCCTATGAGAATGTAATGCTGCTGCTGATTTGCCAGGAGGTGGAGCTCAGGTGGTAATGCTCTCTTGCCCACTGGATGCTTGCCTTCTGCTGTGCGGCTCGGTACCTAATGGACCGTGGACTGGTTTGGGTCTAGTATCTGCGGCCCAGGGTTCAGGGACCCCTGCTCTGTCAGACAGGAGAGAAAGGGATGTTCTGCCTCGGTGTGTCCGCCAGAAGGGGGTCAGGATGTGGAGTTTATTAGAAGGTTTAAGGAATTTGGCTCCAGGCCAGGCTGGTTTCTTCCAGGGTCTTGGGAAGCAACATCAACACCTTTATCAGTGCCTGGGAGTGTGGAAGCACCCAGAGGAAAACATGCACCTCACTGGGTCAGAGTGGTCAAAGGCACTCCTTCTAGGGAAGAAGTGGGGAAGGTTGGGGGCCCTACAGTCACTGATTCGATGCCCTCACCATTTTCTTAGTAGATTCTAGGGTGTGGTCAGGAGAAGGGCCCTGTCTTTTCACCAGAGAGCTCCTCTGCTTTGTCATATTTATAAAAAGTGAGGGGGCATAGTCCGGGACTCTTTTCCCTGGATGGGGGAGCAGGATGTCTCAGCCCCCTCCCTCCAACAACTATTTTGTCCTTGTTCTGGAAGCCTAGGATAAGAGCTGAATAATTCTCCATCTGTATTCATCCTTGTGTTATTTATAATAATGAAAGGTCAGAAACAGCCTGACAGCCCTACAGTAGGGGACGCCTAGTTAAATTTGGAATAGCCATATGAGGGGGTGTTATGCAGTCATTAAAAATGATTTATTTGGGCCAGGTGCTGTCATTCACACCTATAATCCCAGCACTTTGGGAGGCTGAGGCCAGAGGCTTCCTTGAGCCCGGGGGTTTGAGACCACCCAGGGCAACATAGGGAGACCTTGTCTCTACAAATAATTTAAAAATTAGCTGGTCATATCTGTGATCCCTGCAGTTTGGGAGGCCGAGGCCGGCAGATCACCTGAAATCAGGAGTTCAAGACCAGCCTGGCCAACATGGTGAAATTCCATCTCTACTAAAAATACAAAAATTAGCTGGGTGTAGTGGCACCTGCCTGTAATCCCAGCTACTCAGGAGGCTAAGGCAGGAGAATCGTTTGAACCCAGAAGGTGGAGGTTGCAGTGAGCCGAGATTGCACCACTGCACTCTAGCCTGGGTGACAGAGTGAGACTCTCTCTCAAAAAAAAAAAAGAACCAAAAAAAGTTAGCCAGGTATGGTGGTGCATGCATGTAGTCCCAGCTATTCAAGAGACTCAGGTGGGAGTGTCACGTGAGCCCGGGAGGTCGAGACTGTAGTGAGCTGTGACTGTGCCCTTCACTTCAGCCTGGGCAACAGAGTAAGACCCTCTCTCCTAAATAAATAAGTAAATAAATATTTGGGAAAAAAAATGAAGGTGTTTTACTACTGTAAAACATGATGCATTTAAGAATATGTAATCACTTGTGAAATTGCTCACAATATTAGAGAAAATGGATATAAATTAGTATACACAAAGTGATCCTCATTCTGCATCGTGATTAGGCAAAAAATTATCTTTTTTTTTTTGGTACCACTTATTTTTACCTTGAGGCAAACAAACTCTGGGTCCTTTGGGCTAGCACCCTCAAGGTGAAGAATGAGGCATTGTCCTTACTTCTCAATTTCCATCATAAACTAGTGCATCTGGTCTTCTGATTTGTTTTTTATCTAGAGTGGCTTAATTTCAGATATAAAGCCAGATAAATATACTAAGGCAGTATTTCCATAAACTTTTCTTTATAAACAGGTTTTCTGCGTGGTCAAATAGATCAGGGAAATCTGGGTGAAAGAAAGTTTATTACAGCAGGGCTTTTCAGAGCCATCAATAACTTTTTAAGAGGAACATATTTAATGCATGGTATTTTCCAAATTTATATGACCCTGGAATTTTATTTATTTATTTTTTTGAGATGGAGTTACTCTTGTTGCCCAGGCTGAAGTGCAGTGGCGCAGTCTCTGCTCACTGCAACCTCTGCCTTCTGGGTTCAAGCCATTCTCCTGCCTCAGCCTCTGGAGTAGCTCGAATTATAGGTGCCGGCCACCACGCTTGCAGTGTTTGTGTTTTTAGTGGAGATGGGGTTTCATCATGTTGGCCAGGCAGGTCTTGAACTAACCTCAGGTGATCCACCTGCCTTGGCCTCCCAGGGTGCTGGGATTACAGATGTGAGCTACTGTGCCTGGCCCCCTGGAATTCTTTTTTTCATGAAACATCTTTGGATGGTGGGCTTCACACAGTTTGGAATGTATTGAATTTAGGCCAGGGAATGTGGTGGTAGAGTTTCAGTTTCCGATTTTTTTTGGGTTTTTGCAGGGAGCTACTTCCTGTGATCGTGAGTAACTTTAGTATTTCATAGAGAGTGGATTGCCTGTACTACGCCATGTCATAATGTTCCCCGTTTTTCTTGATAGGCCTTTCCGAAAGATGAATGAGAAAGGTGTCTTACTCTGGGATAAAATTCACAAGTTGCAGAAAGGCCAGATTTATAAGCAGGTATCTCATGACCAGCTTCTCCTTTTTGTTGCTTTGCTTTGTGGTCGGTAATAATGCTAACAGCTGATGTTCATTGTGGCTTACTATGTGCCTGGCACAGTTCTGAGTGATTCCCATGAACTGACTGACTATAACTTGGTGGTAAACTTAGGTTTAAGTCAATATCTTTTCAATATGCTAGTATCTAAACTAACTCAAAATTGAACAGTTTTTTAAAACAAAAATTTTAAGGCATTACTTTCATAGTGTATGACATTTAAGTTGCCAGTGGTAAAAATTGGAAATTTCTCTTTAAGGAACACTTACTCATGGCATATTATTCACTCAGCTTATTATTTTCTGACAAAACATGTTTTGTACACAGTTTTGTGGGGAATTTTTTTTAGACAGAATCTTGCTCTGTCACCAGGCTGGAATGCAGTGGCACCATCTTGGCTCACTGCAACCTCCATCTCCCTGGTTCAAGTGATTCTCCTGCCTCAGCCTCCCGAGTAGCTGGTATTACAGGTGCCTGCCACCATGCCCAGCTAATTTTTGTATTTTTAGAAGAGACTAGGTTTCACCATGTTGCCCAGGATGCTCTTGATCTTCTGCTCTTGTGATCCGCCCACCGCAGCCTCCCAGAGTGTTGAGATTTATAGGTGTGAGCCACCATGCCTGGCTTTTTTGTTTTTTCCAGTTTGTATTGAGACAAGGTCTCGCCCAGTCGCCCAGACTGGAGTGTAGTGGCATGAACATCACTCACTGTGGCCTCAACCTCCTGGGCTCAAGCGGTTCTCCCACCTCAGCCTCTCAAGTGGCTGGGATCACAGGCATCCACCACCATGCCCAGCTAATTTTTAATTTTGATTGTTTTGTAGAGACAGGTTCTTGCCATGTTGCCCAAGCTGGTCTTGAACTCTTGGGCTCAAGCAGTCCTCCCACCTTGGCCTCCCAAAGTGCTGGGATTACAGGCATGAGCCATCATACCTGACCTGTGCACAGTTTTAATGTATTTTGGTGTCATAAGAGGCTTTCAAATGTTTGAATGAATTTGGTTGCTGACCATTCTTATGTTACTAAGGTTCGTTTTAAAAAATATTAATACATTCTTGATGGGTATATAACAATGTGCTGGATTTGGCAATATGAGTATATTTTCAAGGCCTTGAGAAAAACAGCTTTGATAGAGCCATTTTACTTCTAGGAAGTTAGCCTAAGAAAAGTATTAAGATATAGCTAATACAACTCAGCTATGAGAATGTTTATCATGAAGTTTCTTACAAAATAGTTAATGTAAACTGTACAACATCAGGGAGTTGGTGAAATGAATCATGGTACTTCCCAGCTGCTATCCTTACCTGGTAGGTTAGTATTTATTGACATGGAAAGATGACTACAGCGTGTTAAGTGTAGAAAGGTAGTTACGAAGAAGTGTATACAATATGAATCCTTCTTGAACAGCGTGTTTGACGTAGAGGAAAGATAAAAAAATAAAAGCACTTCCCACGGAAGTGCTTTTATTTTTATATTTTGATATTTAAAATAAGTTATAAAAACAAAAACAATTTTTAAAAGTTTTTAAAAAATATTTTGTACTGTGGGTGAGACAGGCTATCTGTAGTGTAATAACTATAGTTTTCTCTGATTGCAGGGTAATTTATATGAGTTTTTGAAGCTTACTGGATGGAGAGGATCCAGAGTGTTGTATTTTGGTGACCATATATACAGTGACTTGGCGGTGAGGGGCCCTTTTTTCCTTTGTTGGGGGACAGATGTGTTAGTCTCACTTGTTAAAGAATGTATCTTTTATTTAAGGCCATCTTTATGCTTTCATAAAACCTAGAAGTAGGCTGCATTTTTTAAATGTCTCATTTCTTTTTACAGAACAGGATGGATCATAGCTGTGGAAAAGATAAATATTTTTTTGGAAATGATGGGAATAAACAGTTCACCCAAAGAGTTTATCAGAATAGTCTTTCCATTTAAATATTAAGAAATAAATGCCATTGCTCTTTTTCCTTTTATCAATGCATCAAAAAACATAAAGTCCACCTTTGAAAGCTTGCAACCATTGGGAATATTGAAAAGAACGTGCTGTAGGTTTTCATGTATGACAGGAGAAAGAAATATTCAAAGTCTTCAAGAAACTGAATCAGTGGGCTGGGCGCAGTGGCTCACACCTGTAATTCTAGCAGTTTGGGAGGTTGAGGCAGGTGGATTACTTGAGCTCAGGAGTTCGAGACCAGCCTGGGCAACACTGTGAAACTCTGTCTCTACTAAAAATACAAAAATTAGCTGGGCATGGTGGCACATACCTGTAATCCCAGCTAGTGGGGAGGCTGAGACAGGAGAATCACTTGAACCTGAGAGGCAGAAACTGCAGTAAGCTGAGATTGCATCATTGCACTCCAGCTCGTGTAATATAGTTGAGACCCTGTTTCAAAAAAAAAAAAACAGAAAAGAAATTTTGAACCAGTGAAGAAGATGGGCATCCTCAGCCCTCTTATGCCCTTACATAGGGCTTAGGATTCTAGCTTTAGGTGAGTAGCCAGACCGAGCCTTTAAAACTGCAAATCAGATACCACTTCTTCCCTTAAAACCCGAAAGCCTTTCTTTCTCCCTCAGAGTAAAAGCCTGAGTTCCCATGGTTGCGCCCTGGATTCCTATGGTTGCCCAGTGGATTTCCCCTTCCTCAGCCCACTTCTGTGAAGATACCCTCTGCCTCTGCCTTCTCTTTTGTCTCCTGTAGGTTCCCTGACTCGTTGATTCTTAACATGCCACCCTCCAGCATGTTCCTGCCCCGGGGCCTTTGCACTTGCTGTTCTTCAGCCAGAATCTCCCTGCTCCCACATATTCACATACTCTCCCCCACCTTGTCCTTGTATTAGTCTGGTCTTCCTAACTACCCTGTATAAAATGCAAACCTCCTTGCTTCCTGTCCTTTTCCTGTTATTCTGCTTGATTTTTGTCCCTTGTACTTATCCCCACCTGCCATTGTGTATTTTACTTGCTTATTTGTTGTCTGTATTTTTCATGAGGGCTGGGAACAAAAAACTGAGAAGTTTTTTGTTCATTGTTTTATCCTTCAGTATTTAGGGCCTGACAGATAGTATTGCTTGACGAGTATTTGCCAAATGGGAAGATGACCATTTAGTGTGATGTGTCTTAGATTTTCCAGGACATAGCTGATACTAGATATTCTGGCCTGTTAAATAGGGGGTTACAACATTTGGAATGGAAAATTTGATCATGCATGCTGATGTTGTATGTGATCATTCCAAGTCTGAGATTCCATGGTTCTCCATAACCCAGAGGGCCTGGCACACAGAGGTCTGTGGATGAATTGAATGAAGACCTTTGGTAGCAGTTAGGTCAAGCCCCTTTCCGCCCCGACCTTTTTTTTTTTTTTTTTTTTTTCTTTTTTTTAAAGAGACCACAGTTAATGATTCCAGACCTGGTGTTTTTGCAGGGGATATGACTCACGGCAATTATTTCCAGAACAGAAACTTTCTTGGAATGAAATGATCGAAGGCTGGGGCCAAATTAGTTTTAATTAAATGTAATTCATTGAATTCAACTTGGTTAATAACTAACCATTACCATCAAAAAGTCATTAAATGAATGCCTCTCATGTCTGGGAAAATAATGACATAGTGTAGATTCTGTTGAGACTGATGTTGACTTTTCGTGATCTCTGTGATCAGGATTTGACCCTAAAGCACGGCTGGAGGACTGGTGCAATCATCCCAGAGTTGAGATCTGAGCTCAGAATCATGAACACGGAGCAGTACATTCAAACCGTGGCCTGGCTGCAGACCTTGACTGGGTTATTGGAACAGATGCAGGTTGGGATTTTTTTTTTTTTTTTCCTTCTCACTGTTTCTCTCAGCCTGAGGTTACAAAGTTGCTTCTGGTATTTTCTGCTTAATGGTTATAAAGTATGAGGCTTAAGTTGTTTTCAGTAGACTGTGGAATAATGACTGGGGTTCTTTTGCTTAGAGAGCCTTTGTGGGGCCTGTGTAAATACAGGTGTTTGCTCACATTCCTCTGTCAGTGAAGATCCACTGTGCTCACTTCCACACTGAAGCCTGTGGGGAGCTCTTCTGTGGGGTACTGGGATTCAGGAAGCCCTGCCAGTGCTTGAGTCTGTGCTGGTTTTGCCTGCACCTGCCACGGTGGGACTTCTCCATTCTGGGCCTCAGTTTCCCCATCTGTGACATAAAGGGCCCTGTGGATGGAACACTTCAGTCTAGGCCCCATGGCTTACTGGAGAGAGTCTCAAAGCAAGAGTCAAGATCCTGGGGTCCAGCCTCAGTTTATTTTGAGGATAATACCTGCAGTTTGCTGGCTTACTGGAGTTCCCTGGCAGTTACTTCCTTGTGTTAAGTTACGCAGCCAGTTTTGGCGGGTTAGTGAGGAATGGCAGTTTTATCAGTCATTTCCTGGCCCATGGAAACTGCCTCTCTTTTGCTGCTCTATCCCCTTAATTCTCCATGTGCCCCTTTCCTTTCCAGTTCCTTGAGGTACCTTGCTTTCTCCCTGGGCCCAGCTTGCCTGGGCTGCAGCCATCTCAGCATGGGTGCTGACATTTTTAGGATAAGGGCACAGATGCTTGCTCTCTTGGCGAACACACCTGCAACCTGTGGCCTGTTGCCCATGCCTGCCCTCTGGCTTTGGAAATGGGCAGGGAACTGCCTTGCCTGCCCCAGCTGGCACTCCGTGTGGGGGTGGCTGAGCAGTGAGATCAGGCAGGGCTGTGAGTGGCAGGCCAGATTCTGGCTCCAGGTGCATGCATTCCAGAGCATGGGGCCCTGCACGTCCCCCTAGGCCTTGTTTCCAGAATGCACTGGGCTCCATTAGTTCTTGGCTCTTCTCCGATGAGGATTTATTGTTTCCCTTGCTATGCTTGTCTGTGAGATGATTTTCTAAAAATATATGGCATCAGTTCTGACTTAGTGTAGTTTAGAGTCTGTGTTTGTATGTCATACACTACTAATAGTTACTTTTTATGTGCCAGGCACTGTGCTGAGTGCTGGCTTTATACACATTGCTCATTTAGCTGTCCCATGCTGGTAGGTACCATTTTCCCATTTTAGAATAAGGAAACAGGTTTTGAGAGGTCAGGTACCATTTATGCCTGAGATCGTAAAATGACAGGGCAAGGCTTGAACTGAGGCCTGTGTGGGCCCCAGGTCCATGCTTTGGTGCACTGCTCTAATGTGCCTCCCTGGTTAGAGGGCTGGGGTATAGGCAAGGACTTGACACCCTCAGTGAAGCCTCTGTAACTCCGGCAGCTGGTCATATGTACACACACAGCTGCACGTAGATGGCATCACTACATGTTAGCTTTGGTAACAGTTTTTTTGGGGGGTTTCCTTTTGTTTTTGTGACCTGTGTAAAAAGTTGATGATAAAGGTATGAATGTTTTAGAGAATGGAAGTGCTGGAAGTATTTCTGTGATTTGTAAAATTAGTTATACAAGGCATAGGGTGAGGGAAGGAAGAAAAGGGAATGAATGTTTACACAGCCAATGCGATTTCACAGGAGAGAAAACAGACTGCGAGATATGTAACTTTTCTAGAGTCACGGTTCTCGGCTGGCAGAATCAGGCTGTGTAGGAATGTCCTAAGAACTTACTGTGTTCTGGACACCGTGACCTTTAAGTTTGTTTCATTTTCACAGTAACTCTTTGAAGTAGGTCCTGAAACATCACTCCCATTTTATTGATGAAGACCCTGGGGAACAGAGGAGCTATAAATTGTCTAGGGAGGGGTGATGCTGGCGTTTACACAGTGGCAGCCCGACTCTGGAACTGTAAGCTCCACGCACGCACCTATGTTGCCTTGGGTTCTGGCACTTTGTAGAGAGTTCTTTCAAGTTGGACTCACTATAGAGGTGTGTAGCTGCTAACTAAAGAAACATCTACATAAATGTCCTAGCTCACTGTCTCCCTCTTCCTCAGTGTTCCTTCAGAAATACAAGGTATTCCACTGAGCCTGTGGCAGATGTTTCTAGAACTCCCCCTTGGGGATTGTTTTCAGAGCATGTAGCACATTATTTGGACAGTTTTCTGAGGAGAAAAATTGGTACTCTGAGATTGGGTTTGATTTTTTCAGAGCTAGCAGAGTATCATTTGTTTGATGTTTTTTTTTCCCTTTTGAGACGGAGTCTTGCTCTGTTGCCCAGGCTGGAGTGCAGTGGCATGATGTTGGCTCCTTGCAGCCTCTACCTCCCAGGTTCAAGCGATTCTCCTCTCTCAGCCTCCCGAGTAGCTGGGACTATAGGTGTGTGCCACCACATCCAGCTAATTTTGTATTTTTAGTAGAGACAGGGTTTCACCATGTTGACCAGGCTGGTCTTGAACTCCTGACCTCACAGAGTGTCATTTGGAGGCAAGTCTAATGAATGAGATAAAAGTCCATAAATTTTGGTTGTGATTTGGTTAGCTAGCCTTGAGGTGCATTCCAAAATGGCTGTGGTTCATGGTGGTGGTGCTGGCATTGGTAGACGCTTCTCAGGTGACCAATCAGTCAGATGCCACATTTTGACCACGGTTCAGCAAGTTTCTGCAAAGGGCCACATGGTAAATATTTTAAGCTGTGCAGGCTCAGGTAACCAACCAGTCAGAGGCCACATTTAGACCACGGGTCAGCAAGCTTCTGCAGAGGGCCACGTGGTAAATATTTTAGGCTGTGCAGGCTGTAGGTTCTGTTGCAGCTACGCACCTCTGCACTTGGAACACAAAAGCAGCCGTGGACAATATGTGAATGAATGGTTGTAGCTGTGTCCCAGTAAGCTTTATCGGTGGGTGCTGAAATCTGACTTTCATCTAATTTTTACATGTCATGAATGTCATTCTTTTTCTTTTGAGACAGAGTCTCACTCTGTTGCCCAGGCTGGAGTGCAGTGGTGTGATCTCGGCTCACTGCAGCCTCCGCCTCCCGGGCTCAAGTGATTCTCATGCCTCAGCCTGCTGAGTAGCTAGAATTACAGGTGTGCACCACCATGCCCAGCCAATTTTTGTATTTTTGGAGAAATGGGGTTTCACCATGTTGTCCAACCTGGTTTTGAACTCCTGGCCTGAAGTGATCCACCTGCGTCAGCCTCCCCAAATGCTGGGATTACAGACATGAGCTACCACACCTGGCCTGTCATAAAATTATCCTTCTTTTGATTGTTTTTCCCCCAGCCATTGAAAAAGAAAAACCCATTTGTGAGCTCATAGTTGATAGAAAAATGGGCCGGTGGCTGGGACTGAGGTAGGCCGTTGCACTGGCTAGATTGTAATATCTTTCTCAAGCAAGGGCAGAGATACGCAGCCAATCTGTTTTGCCGTGAAGAGCTGATTACGCCCATGAATAACCGCTGGAGGTGGAGGTGGCTGAAGTGCCTGGAGGATCATTTTCTGTGGGGCTTTGGTTAGTCTTTTCCAGTGTTAACGACCCACTCTAGAGTGCATGGTTTCACTTGAAAGATTAGTGGTAACTAATGAAGACACACTGTCTTTGAAATATTTTAAAGTGGATTTCAGAACCAGAAGCTCTTGTTTTATGGAGTTTGACCTTGTAGGGGGACGCAGCTGGAGAAGTGGGTGGGCACAGGGAGAAATCTTTTTTTTTAATGGGAGAGACTCGAGCATGTTTGACGGCTGATGGGAACGATGCAGGTGAGAGGGTTGTTCCTATGAGAGAGGTGACAAATGGTGGGAGAGGTTCATGGCAGGACAGCCGGGAGGGCGCCCCAGGCAGCTGCTGGGTGCTCCGTGGGAGGTAAGGCCTGAAGGGCGGCTGAGTGAAGGAGGCATTCAGGGTCCCTTTCCGGGCATGCATCCCTGGTCTCCAATTCCTGGGGCCTTTTTCCCTTGCATGTCCCTTCAGCAGCCTCGGGGTTCAGAGTCAAGCTGTTGAACTGAGCAGATGTGATAAACAGAAGGTTCTTTGCCCCCATGTCAAAAGCAGATAGTTTGCTAGCTTGGTATTTTCCTACAGGTTCTAAGGTTACCCCTGTGGTCATGTATTGCAGGGAGCTCACCTGTTGCCTGTGATCATGTGCACCTTGGATTCTGGCCTCAGTGTTTCTGTTTAGCCACAAAAACCTTGGAGGGAGACTTGTGAGATTCCATGTGTTAGATCATGGGCAATTGGCATTTTCTTTTGGCCTTTCACTCATATTTCGGCCCACCAGAAAATGCTCTGCTTTTCCTTCTCATTGAGGTGCTTTACCTTCTTGCCTTTTGCAGAATATAATATTAAATTAAAAAGTTTAATTCGTTTATAATCCTACTGCCCTTGCATAAATTAAAACAAATTTTTATGTTAATTTCCAAATGCAAGCACATACTTTGACACTTGCAGTTAGTGGGTATATATGCTGTTTCCACTTAATGTTTGTACACATGTATATAATACGTATAATAGGTAACATATACTAGGTATATGTACATTACAGTTTGTACACATGTATATATCACCTACATGTTTTATGCATATGTGGATACATGCATGCATTATGTTTATATGTAGTCTTTACTCATAATTTAATAACTTCATAATATTTCATCTTAATTTGTTACCACATTTCTAATGTTGGACATTGAAAACTATTTTTCATAAATGAAGACGGCAGGTGTCAACTGGAAAGTCTGAAAAATGTATTATTTCGTGCAGGTGCCGACCTTTGAGATGTAAAGGAATAAAATTTCTCCTAGAAAAGCTGCTAATTAAAAAAATATTCTCATTACCTAATGAACTTATTTGAAATCAAAACAGTTGTAATAATTAGCTTGCATCTTGCAGGTTCACAGAGATGCTGAGTCACAGCTGGTTTTGCAGGAGTGGAAAAAGGAAAGGAAGGAGATGAGGTAAGAGTGGCCTGTGTTGAATGTGGCGAGTCCACCACCCTGTTCGGCTGTGCTGGGCCTACACATGTACCCCAAGGCCAGCCTGAGGCATAATCTTGAAACAGCCTTTTTTTTAGCTCCCAGGTGTGTCTGTCTCCAGGATTCAGAATCAGCTACCTGCTGTTGGTGACGTGACATTTCTTTGAGGCCAGCTATTACCCTGTTATTTCTCTGCCCTTGCCGTTGAAGGCCTTGGGAGAAGGGAGCCTTTTCATCTCATGCATCCTCCCTGCCCGCCTGACCTTCCCGTCTGGGCAGCTGGTAGCTCAGCTGTTAATAATGCTGGCAGCACAATGTGGCTGTCGGGGCAGTGCTGGATTTGGGCTCTGAACCCACAGTGAATTCTTAGGGCTCCTAGACTCTGGTGCTTATTCGTAACCACAACTATTGCAAGAATGTGCCATCTTACTGGTAAAGAAAGCCTGTCTGCTGTGAGAAAAGTCTGGTGGGTATCTCTTAAGGGAACCCCGACTGACAATCATGCTTCCCTAGGCGGATGCTTTCTATGTTGACACCATTTGCATGAACTTTTCTGACTTTGCACATGGCCTTTTCCAGCCGCTGGCTACAGCTGTCTCTGAGTCTTGGAAACAGTGGTTGCTGTGGGATTCTGGCCTCTCAGTAGTGGGCAGCCTGACCTGAGGTTGCATGTGGTGGTGTGCGTGGGTGGGGACAGGGCGTGGAAAGGGGACAATGAGTCCATTCCTCAGAGTCTGCAGAAGCCAGGGCTGTATTGCATTTAGTTCGTCCTCCTAACTCTCAGGGTGTTGGCTGTCTTGAGTCTTATTCTAACTGTTACCAACTAGTGGCTTTTATCACACAGTTGTGTAAATGACTATATTTTTTGCTGTGTTGGTAAATGACTTATTAACAGTCAAATAGTATTCCTTCGTTTTGCTGGAATACTCTATATGTAGGGTCCCAGCCATCAGAGAGTGTGCGTATCCTGTATACACAGGATAGGGATGTTGATAAAGACATACATGCACATAAGGATGACTACAGGGGCTTATGGTTCTTGAACAGGGTGAGCAGCCTCACCTGCAAGGAGGCCGGGAGGCCCTGAAGTGTGTAATGGATGGGGGACATTTACATCACATAAAACAATCCTTAATTCCTCAGACAGCTGAGCACTTGAGAGTTTACAACATGCTTTTATTTTGCTTACCTTAGTTCTCACAATAACCTTGTAGAACAGGGGATCTTGATCCTTTCTGTAAGGGAAGTTGAGACTCCTGAGAACATTCTGTATTCCTCTGTGTACTGTCGGGAGCAGCTGCTGCATCCCATGTTTAGGTTTGGGAGATGGAGCGTGTGTATGTAGAGAAGTGTGCACAAGAATCTGGAGCCTCGAGACAGTTAAGAGGGAAATGTGACCAGAATCATTTTCATGGATGGATAGATACGCTGACTGACTGACTGGCTGATTTACTTCCTCCCCTCCCCTCCCCTCTCCTCCTCGCCTCCCATCCCTCTTTTTTTCTTTTTCTTTCTTTCTTGAGATAGGGTCTCATTCTGTCACCCAGGCTGGAGTGCAATGCACAGCTCTCTGCAGCCTCAACCACCCAGGCTCAAGCGATTCTCCTACCTCACCCTCCTGAATAGCTAGAACTATAGACACATGCCACCATGCCTGGCCAATTTTTTTTGCATTTTTCTAGAGATAAGGTCTCACAAAGTTGCCCATGCTGATGGTCTAGGGTTCAAGTCCACCTGCCATGCCTGGCCCGGACTGTTTTTGTTTTTGTGTTTTTGAGATGGAGTCTGGCTCTGTCGCCCATGCTCGAGTGCAATGGCACAGTCTCTGCTCACTGCACCCTTCACCTCCCTGGTTCAAGCAATTCTCGTGCCTCAACCTCCTGGGTAGCTGGGATTATAGGCCTGGCTACTTTTTGTATTTTTAGTGGAGACGGGGTTTCACCATGTTGGCCAGGCTGGTCTCGAACTCCTGGTCTCAAGTGATCTGCCCGCCTCAGCCTCCTAAAGTGCTGGGATTACAGATACGAGCCACCGCACCTGGTCCTAGACAGTTTCCTTAATTAGAATTTGGGGCTGTTCTAGGCTAACTTTTTTCTCAAATGAGTCTTATTTTTTTTTAAATGATTTTGATTTCTGTAGTTTAAAAACAAGCCTTTTTGAATCATTCTCTATTGCTTTGCTTTTTTATTGCCCCTTCAGAGAAATGACCAAGAGCTTCTTCAACGCCCAGTTTGGAAGCCTGTTCCGCACAGACCAGAACCCAACCTACTTCCTGAGGCGCCTGTCGCGCTTCGCTGACATCTACATGGCGTCTCTGAGCTGCCTTCTGAACTATGACGTCAGCCACACTTTCTACCCTCGGAGGACTCCACTGCAGCACGAACTGCCCGCCTGGTCGGAAAGGCCCCCCACCTTCGGAGCCCCTCTCCTGCAGGAGGCCCAGGCCAAGTAGCTGAGGGCTCCCTGGGGCAAAAGCCAGAAACTGACGGCCCCTGATTGGCAGGCATGACGGGGTTGATGCCATGTGAGTCTGAGTGTTGCTTTTGGAAAAGATACAGATATGCCTTTTGATATTTATTTTGTACCTTATGGAGAATAATTCTCCCAATGGTTAAGATGGGAGCTAGCTGCCGACCCCTCTGGCCTTCCCCGCCATGCAGGGCTGAAAAGCAAGCTTCACATTGGAACTCTAATTTCACCTTTTTGTTTACGAAGGTCGTGAAACTGACGTCAGGTTTTCTGGGATGGGCGAGACCACTGGATGCCATCTCTGCATTCCAGCAGGTCAAGCTTGAAACGCTTCTTGACTCCTCCATGGAACATTTCTTGAACATGTATGGGCAGTGTATTGGGGGCTGCAGGGGCACAGTGACGGGCAAAGATTAGCTGCTTCCAGGAGGCTGATTTAGTGGGCTCCACAATGGCAAAATGCTGCCGTGAGTTGCAGAGAGGCCCCCCCACCTCCAGTGGTGGCCAGTTTCCAAATCATTTGATACTAAGGCTTTGACATTCTGGTAACCTCTCACCAAAGAGAATACACCCTCCCTGGAAGGACTTACATGAGAAAGAACAAGAGAACTTGCAGCTCCTGGACCTTCTAGTCCTCAGTATGTGGTTCCTGTGTCCTTCCCAGTAGGGAGGTGGGCAGGAGAGAGGAGATGAGAGCTCTGGTCAAAATCGCCTTCTAGCTAGCGGAACAGCCTTCTGGAGAACAAGATTGCAAGAAATGAGTGGGTCTGAAGAACCAAAACATTTGTGGTAGGTCTCCCAGGAGCATGTAAAACCTGGACACACCACCAGGTTGGCTTCATGTGTTCATGGAAAGAAAGAAAATGAACCAGGAAAAAGCATCTTTGTAATGAAGCGCTGTGCCACGGCACCCACTCGGTTGAATTGGAATCTTGTTAAAACATGGAATTTACCAGAAACAGTCCTTGTCTAGATGGAAACAAATGAGATCCCCGCTTCTCTCTGAGTTATCCACTGAGAGGTGCTTGGATTGGCCAGGGGAGAAGGAAGGTGGCCATCGCAACTTAACCATCTCCAGCCATCTCCTCTTAGATTTCTCTCCTGCGGTGTTTGTGTGGCTATTTGGGAGTTTGTGCAGGGGTTTTTTTTTTTTTTTTTTTTTTTTTGTCTTTTAGATGTCTAAGGTGGGAAAGGGCGAAGGACATTGAAGCCAGGAAATAGATATGACCTAGCTAACTGAGCTTCTCTTACTTCTTTCTAAGGGCAATGAAAATGGCATATATTCCTTCTGTTGGAGGGAGGAATCCTTAATTGCATCTGCATTTGTAGTATCCTTCAACATAAAGTGCGTATTTACTGCACTCCCTGAGTGCTATGGGAATGTCTGCTGTTATTAGTTATGATGCTGCTAATACTATTTTAATTGCATAGGCTGTATAAATACTCCTGTTCAGATTAGTCTGATCTAGTATTGCTAACACTCATTTTAAGCTTTTGCGGCAACGTGCATATATTCTTAAATCTAAAGGATGACAGGAACATGAGGGGAGCTTGTGGAGAATGCTTGCTTATTCAACATTTTTATTGTGATAAATGTTTGTAACCATCTATTGACGAAATGCGAGCCTGGCATTCCATGGGCTCCTTGTCAGGTGGCAGAAACTTAATGAGCTACATGGCATCCTTTGTAATGCTGCTTGTTACAGTTGGGATGTACTTGTGATATTTTGCTGTATTTAACTGTAATGGTGAAGGTGACCCTTTAAATCCAATAAGGTTTCCCCCCATCTTTTCTTCTACATTTGATTATAAACACAGGCACAGTAGTATTGTTCTATTTTTGGAACAGGTAGGCATTTTGTTTATGGTTTGCCTGCTTCTAGGTGTTTTCACCATCAGGGTGTATTAAAGGCTGACATTTAATGGGTGTGTGTTGTGCCCAGCACTGCTCGGTGTTGGGGCTCTAAAAGAATGCACCGGTGCTCTTGGCTTCAAGTTTCTGCTTTGGAGAAACAGATTGAGGAAGTAGGTGCGGCTTAAAAATAATTCTTGGTTTTTATCTAATCAGATATCATTGGTTACCTACCTACCAGGTGCCAGTTATAGGGTGTTTTGTTTACTCAAGAATGAAGTAGAACTATTTTTAAAACCTGTTTTCATGAGTGTTTAGGTTAGGTGACCTAGGCTTTGAAGGAGAAAAACATTTTCTGGGTATGAATAATGAGTTTTATAATTATTCCCATTTAGAAAAATTTTAGTCTCTGTGCCATTGAGCTTGGCAGTGTTGAGATCTCCCATGTGGGCCGGGCACGGTGGCTCAAGCCTGTATCCCAGCGCTTTGGGAGACCGAGATGGGTGGATCATGAGGTCAGGAGTTCAAGACCAGCCTGGCCAAGATGACGAAGCCTCATCTCTACTAAAAATACAAAAATTAGTCGGATGTGGTGGCAGGCACCTGTAATCCCAGGAGGCTGAGGCAGAGAATTACTTGAATCTGGGAGTTGGCAGTTGCAGTGAGCCGAGATTGTGCCTCTGCACTCCAACCTATATGAAGGAGCAAGAGTCTGCCTCAAAAAAAAAAAAAGATCTCCCGTGTGGCAGAAGCCTGGCATCTGGGCCACCAAGGCTCACTGACTGTGTACCTTGGAGACTGTAGACCCATGTCGTGGCGGTAACGGGGCTGAGCACAGGCCATCCCCATGTGAAGGAGGGAGGCACATCCCCCTTTATTATTAATCCTTATCCATGCTCAGTTGGGACAGATTTTAACTTGTCACTGTCATTTTTTTTTTTTTTTTTTTTGAGACAGAGTCTCGCTCTGTTGCCCACACTGGAGCACAGTGGTGCAATCTTGGCTAACTGCAACTTCTGCCTCCTAGGTTCAAGCAATTATTGTGTCTCAGGCTTCCGAGTAGCTGGGACTACTGGTGCACGACACCCTGCTAATTTTTGTAGTTTTAGTAGAGATGGGGTTTCATTATGTTGGCCAGGCTGGTCTTGAACTGCGCCTGGCCTTGTCATGACTCTTTTTTTTTTTTTTTTTTTTCAAGATGGAGTTTTGTTCGTGTTGCCCAGGCTGGAGTGCAGCAATGCGATCTTGGCTCTCTGCAACCTCTCCCTCCCGGGTTCAAGCAATTCTCCTGCCTCAGCCTCCCGAGTAGCTGGGATTACAGGCACCCGCTACCACGCCCAGCTAATTTTTTATATTTTTAGTGGAGACGGGGTTTCACCATGTTGACCAGGCTGGTCTTGAACTCCTGACCTCAGGTGATCCACCTGCCTCAGCCTCCCAAGGTGCTGGGATTACAAGCATGAGCCACCTTGCCCCACCTGTCATGACTCTTAACTGGGATCTGGCACACTGCACTGGGCGTTTTGTTTTCCGGTATGCACATTGATGGAAGCATATTGGTACAAGGGAAATGAATCTGTGTTCAACCATTTAAAAAATTGTTTTGTAAAGCAAACAAAATTGGTTTGAATACTTAAATATTACTTTTTCACATTGCTTTGACTGATTTTCTAAGAATTATGTGAATGGTAATGAGTCCAGGGCAGTCCACGTCAGCTGTCACAAATATGGCAGTCCAGCAAGGCCCGTGGAGGTCCCTTTGGAAGGGACTTGCACAGCCAATTTTTCTTTTTCAGTGTTGCTTTTATGGTGAAACCTGGTGTTTGAAATATTTTAGTTGTTTGGCTTAGAGCTCTCACTTTCCCCCTAACATGGCACATATCTCTTTTTTTTTAAAAAAAAAAAAAATCATTTTACCCTTCAGCAGTATTTTCTGCTATTCCCATTAATATCATGTAATATAAACCACCTGCTACTGAGTTAGGTGTATTACAGACTAAAATTATTAGCTGCTTTGAATGCATTGGCACTCATAATTATTACAAAGGAGAATTGAAAAGTAGTCTTGTATCCTAGTCAATTTAGGACACACGTTTAGCTTTGGGCAAACTAAGTAGCTTTTTCTTCTGTCCTCTTCTCAAAAGGCTTTTTAAGCAGCAGAGACTGCTCAATATTGGAATGGAATTCCTTTTCTGCATGCCCATTTGCTGCCAAAGACCACTTGTGGCTCCTTGTCTAGAATGTTCTAAGACCAAATTTGGCCAGACACGGGGTTCCTTGATTGCTCTATTCCACTACTAGAGAACCTGTATTTTGCCTTCTTAATAGCGACTTCCTTTTGTGCCAGGTTTTTTTTTTTCTTTCTTTTGCCTTAGTGTTTGGGAGCTTAGCTCAAAGTTCAGCTGACCTTTGACACTACTAGTGGGTTAAAGAAAGGGAAGGGAATGAAGTACCCTTAGTGCAGGGTCAGCGAACTTTTCCTGTAAAGGGCCAGATAGAAAGTATTTTGGGCATTTTGGGCTGTTCGCTGTTGCTACCACTCTAGGAGTGATCGTGGTCGTGGCTGTGTAACTTGATTTACCAAAACAAGCTGTGGGCTGGACTTGGCCCTCAGGCTGTGGCTTGCTAGCCCCCACTCTAAGGTATTGTGTTGGTGGCAATGGCAAGATTCCCTTGCTGAGACGGTGCAGATGGATAACCTTGTAGCTGGGATGCAGAGAGGAGAAAGTTCTGTAGGTAATAAGTGCACTGTATTCCCTTATGAGCTACTTCCTGGGCATTGTTACATGTATGGCCAGTGTGTGTACTTGAGCTGTCAGGCTCGGCCCTTGTTGAATATACTTCTCATTGTTTTAGTTTGTAATTGTGCTAGTGTTGGGTGCTGAGCTCAACTGCCCAGATGACCTTTCCAGACTGAAGGACTTACTCCCCTAACTGCTGGGAGCGCTGCTGGCTGGCCATTTACTGCCAGCCCTCATGGGAGTTTCCCCTGTCGAAGAGCCCTGCCTGCCCCAGATCACATCCCCTTCCTGCCTGTAACCCTTACCAGCTCCATATGGGGTACAAAGGGCTGGCCTCCCCACCCCAACTTGGGAAACCCTGTAGGGCCATCCCAGGTCCAGAGCCCCTTGTGGGGTCAGTGAGGCCTCATTGTCGCTGCATTGCAGCCCAGTGCCTCCCCGTGCCCAGCCTGTACCCAGCCCATGTCAGCCCACAGCCCTTTCCTGTGAGCCTTCCTGCACGCTGGTCTCCGCCTTGGTGTCTGCTTTCGGGGAATCCAACCTGCAACAGTGCTTCTGTGCGTTTTGGTCCTGCAGGTTTGAACTTTGACTTCGGAGACTTCCAGTTACCTAGTGGAATGACAGGTTGTGCCTGTATGGTATCAGGCACAATGAATGCAAATGAGGTAGACTTGCTATTTATTCTAGATGTGAATTTGCTATTTATTCTAAGTGTTGGTTTTATGTGTATGTGACTCTGAACTTATTGCCAAATAAAAGTTTGAATTGTATCATCTGGTTTATTGTCAGTCACCTATTTTGTGTGTTTAAGTCCGACACGTTAAATGTTGATGAATCCACAGTATTGTTGTGCTAAAAAGGCATTTTTCCAGTACTTGAGGTTATTTCTACAAAAATAAAGGAGGTCTTGGATTAAAAAAAGAATTCTAAGGAACTCCAAAAAGTTTATCCCTGAGAGAAGGGATAACCTTTTTTAGGGAAATCCCACACAAGGGGTATGGGTTTTTTCTTACTAGCCCCATCTCCCCCAACCCCCAGCAAGCACACCCACTTGTTTTCAGAGTGCGAAGACTGTGGAATGTAAGCCTCAGATGAAAATTGGGCTTGAGCACAGTTGGGCAGCAGGTAACCTATGGTGTCACCACAGAGGTTCCTGGTGAAGCCAGTGGTTCATGTTGGTAATCAATTTACGAGGGATTTTTCTTTTAACGTGTGCGTGTGTGTGTGTGTGTGTGTGTGTGTGTGTGTGTGTGTAACATAAAATCCTTGTGCTGATACCTCAATCTCATTCATTCCTCCTGTGGATATCTTTTTTTTTCTCCCTCTCTTCGATCACTAGCAAATCACTCACTAGTGACTCACTAGCCCCTTATTGATTTTTGAGGGGTGATTTTCTGGAAACTTGGCATGTCATCTAAGAGGAAGTGACAGCCTGCTCGTCTTCGTGAAATGCAGCTGCTTCTCTTTCCTGGAGTTGTGAACAAGCTTGCAAGACACTTTGGGGCTTTCAGAACTTTGGGCTTGGCTCAGCAGAAATCCCGATGATGTGGAGCGCAGTTATTTGGGCATTGAAGGCAGCAGAGAGGAGAGCCAAGCTCAGCTCAACCTAGCCTTTTCCTCCGTCCCCAGTGGTGATTCCCAACCCTGGCCAGCACTGCCCCCTGGGGATAATTTGGAGATGTGGGGAAGGGTGGGTTGCAGGGTGCTTGGGTTTTGCAGTGATGGGGAGGGGACGTCTAGTATTTTGAGGACAAGAACCAGGCAGGTTAGACCCCCTGCATTGCGAGGGATAGCCCAGCACACTGGAGCATGGTCCCCCGCCTACACATGTACCTACATGATACAATTCCTATAGGGGGAAACCTGTTTATAATTTTCTAAGCCTAGAATTTGTTTTATAGGTAACCACAAAAAATTTCTGTGACACAATTTTAACATACTGAATTTTCCAGGAATGCAGCTGTATGTAAACTAAAGGAAGATTTTGACTTTGT